AAAGTAGCAGGGGCAGGTGCTAACACCTTCCCCGCAGCAGCTAAACTCAGACACTGGGACTTTTTATGCCCCCTCTGATTGCACTGGAAGCAAATCAGATCTGATGCCGCAATGGTGGTAGTAGTGGCTGTACAATCCTGCTCATATGCCCAATCCGACCGCACTTGTAGCAGCCGGCACTCCCTGCCATGCACACCCCATCGTGCAATCTCCTACACTTGCTACACCGACCGTGGCTCTGTTGACTCCTGGATCTGTGATCTGAAACCTTGTGCTTTTTTCCTGAACTCCCTGAACCCGAAGTCGCCTCCGGCTTCCTTTTTGTCTCCATCTCAAGGTCAATCTCTCTTTCCCAAGCCCTAGCAATCATGTCATCCAGCGTTTTACTGCTGGATCGGCTCACAAAATGGCGGATGTCACTCCATAGCATCTCATGATAACGGTCCTTCTTCATTTCCTCATTAGCTGCGTACCGAGGAACGAGAAGCGCCCTTTCCCTGAACTTCGCGGTAATCTCCGCCACTGTCTCTATAGTCTGGGTGAGATCTTGAAACTCCCTGGCTAACTGCTGCACCTTAATAACCGGTGCGAACTCAGCTTTGAACCTGGCAGTAAAGTCAACCTAGGTCATAGCATCCAAAGCTGCGTCATCTCAAATGACATGTCCAACCTCCTCCCACCAATCTCGTGCCCTGTCCTTCAGGAGACAAGATGCTAATATGACCTTGTCCACCTCGGGACACCTGCTAGTGCAGAATGCGTTGGCCACATCCGCCAACCATCTAGTACTTGGTATGGGGTCCCACGCCCCGTGATAATATGGAGCTCCACATGCCCGAAACTCCCTAAAAGTAAGCGTGCGCGACCCAATCATGACCGCCACCTCAACACAAAATGTGCCTAGCTTTTCCTCCATCAACTCTAGTATACCCTCCTTGATCGAACCAAAGATCACTGGAGTCTGCTCAAGAATGATACGAGTAACCTCTGAAGTGAAGAACTCTCTAGTCTGCTCATCCAACTGTTCAGACCCCGAGCCTGATCCTGATCCCTCCCCGGCACCTGAACTGCCGCCTGCTGGCCTAGGGTGTAAAACCACCATTCTGAAACACATTACGATAAATGTCAGAAACACTGATATATCTCGAGGGATCACTACTACTACAGGCTTTCCGGTCTTGTCTCAACCTTCGTCGATTCGAGTACGAATCCTCTACTTCCAGTAGTATGGGCCCCCTACTACCTTCCACATCTATCCGTACCTTCCTCAAGGACCGCCTCGACTCCACCAAGCCACTACCACTGTTTCTGATCTCTACTACTCTCATCCTAGGCTTGCCCTAGGGAAATCTATGACTTAACCAAAACCTATCCTCAGCCGCTGAAGGCCTCCTTGTAATGCCGATTAGTCATCACCTGAATACCATCACATGTAATGAGGCTCGGATAATCCTTCGAGTTAAAGACTCGTCCCTACAATGGTTAGACTCAAACAAGAGCTGCGCAGTAGGGCTAAATCCAACACTCTGAGATTATTCAACCCTGAACACATGTGATGTGACGTATTCACCTAATGACTAACTACCATTATTCGGAGTCCCACAAAGCACAAAGCAAGCAACATTCGGACACAGGAAACTACTCAAGCAGTTCTATCCTCATAATGAGAAACTGTACTAGCATACAATGCTAAGCTCATACTATCAGGCATAACCTAACAGTCTATCCTACTGCTGTCTACTCAATACTAGCATGCAATTCTCATAAAGCTGGAACATATATAGTAGGCACATAAGGCATCTTCCTAGATCCTTAGTCCTATTCTAGCATACCGTTCTACTGAAACTGAAACAGATCATCATAACATAATCTTGTATGGGTAATTTAGGAGTACTTACTTGAGCTCGGCTGATCGCATGCACCACACCCTTTTCTCGTTTTCAAAACTCTTTTCTTTTTTAAGTCTTTTCCTCAAAAATTCTTTTGAAAACATTTTTTTTTCAAAAATCATTTTACTAATTCCCTTAGTTTGAGTTCAGTCACACCCGTAAGTGTGTCCGAATCCCTCAAACCAAGGCTCTCATACCAACTTGTAACATCCCAAAATACGACCCAAAATTTTTTGTTTAATCATGACTAAATCATTATATCAATATCATAAAATAAAAACCCATACGTCAATATCTCAAAACCATATTAAAGTATCATGAGAAAACTGTATCAAGACCATATCAAATCATATCTACGAAAAGATGAATTGACTCCCAGGACAAAAACTGAAGCGGTGGTGTATGCGATGCCATCATCCCGAGCTCTTCCCTTTACTTGTGGAAATACATGAAACCAAGACCGAAACTGTAAGCATGAAGCTTAGTGAACTCCCCCAAACTACCACATACCATAAAATAACATATAAAGCACATACTTGGCCTTTCCCAATGCATCGGACCAAAATCCGAAAACTGCATCGGACCGAAGTCCGGAACTAACCAGGGCCTTTCCCTTTGCATCGGACCGAAGTCCGGTAACTGCATCGGACCAAAGTCTGGAACTGACTGGGACCTTATCCCCTGCATCAGACCGAAGTCCGGAACTTACTGCATCAGACCGAAATCCGGAACTGACTGCATCAGACCAAAATCCGGAACTGATTGGGACCTTGTGCCCTGCATCGGACCGAAGTCCGGAAACTGACTGAGCATAACATAGCATAGCATAAACATATCAACTATCATAAGCACATATACCGCATACTGCATCGGGCCGAAGTCCAGAACACATAACACGAAACATGCTTGAATCACAGAGACATCAAGCAATCTAACCAATGCATCAGACCGAGGTCCGGAACTACTGCTAACTAAACGGGCCGACATTGTGGTCGCAGACCCGTTCCTACTGGAAGGAAACTCACCTCGTAGTCTGGCTGCTGAATGAATTGCTCTGGAAACTATCTGCTGCTGCTCCGGTATCTCCCCGACTACAATTTCCATCAGTACACTCAATCAAATACTGATAACTATACTAAGGGTAAAATGACTATTTTACCCCTGGTCAAAGTCAATCTCTTGGTCAAAGTCAGCATACAGTTGACCTGACTCGCCTAGTTGGGCCGCCAACTCGTCGAGTCCCTACTCTCATTTCTCGTTTCTGTTCGCTACTACTCGTCAAGTTTGGCGTAGACTCAACGAGTTCCTCTTCGATACCAACACTTAGTCAATCTACATCCGACTCACCGAGTTGTATGAACAACTCGTCGAGTTCTCCTTCAACATATGAACACTCCGACTGTGACTCGCCGAGTCTGTTCTTGAGATATATGAAGATTTCCTTAGACTCGCCGAGTCAGGGCATTGACTCTCCGAGTCCCTCCATGAATGAGTCCGATCTTCGATTCACTAAGTCCACCTATAACTCACTGGTTCCACTCGGCATAATACATGACAGGGGGAAAACTCGGGGACTCGCGACTCGACTCGCCGAGTTTGAAGAACGACTCGCCGAGTCGGTTGCATGCAACTTCTATACAGTTGATTCTGCTTAAAACCAATGCATACAACTTATAGATCTGGGTTCTTAATGCTTGGTTACCACGTAAAGTTTCCAACTTTACGTGTACATATGTATGAAAAGGAATTTAAAGGCTTAGCAAGGACTAAAAGAGTAGATCTAGGGCTTATACACGAGTTAGGCTTATAAAGGTGGTAGATCTGAACTTTTGAAGCTTAAACCCAACTAGATCTACTGGCTGTTCAACTCAATATGATTTCTCCACTACAATCAAGCTAGGAAGTGCATAAAATGGCCTAAATGGGATTTCTAATGGAAGATCAACATAGAAACAGAAGAGATTCGGATTATACCTCAACAAACTCTGGATTGGACTCTAGATCTTTGCTTCTCACCTTCCCTTTTAGTCCTTCCTTCTTTCTTTTCTCCAAATTTCAAAAGATACACAAGATATGCTCAAAATGCTCAAATAATGGCTAGGGTTTTCTAAATGACATTCTGAGGGTGAAAGAGGCGAGTTTGGGGCTCATAACATGGTTTAAATAAGGTACAAACCCTAAAGATTAGGGTTCCCTCCAGACTGGCCTACTCGTCGAGTCCAGGTGCGGACTCGTCAAGTTGATCACTTAAACTCGCGTCCAACTTGGCATCTACTCGACGAGTTAGGGCTACTACTCGCCGAGTAGATCTTTATAAAAGATATTTAATGAATTAATATGTACCAGGAATTGGCGTTACACTTTCAGAATTTTATTCTAATAGAATATTACCGAAGAAAAACAAAATTCTTGAATAAGATGTTGAAAAATAAGAAACATTCTAATATATTCTTATACATCCGAACTTAAATATAAATTCATACATATTCTTAGAGACTAAAAGTCTTATAGATTTTAATATAGTTATAAATATTCTAAAAGAATATCAACAAACATGAATAGCATTCTTAAAAAATAATAAGATTATGCTAGAATACTCTCGTTCTCCCTATTTTCTTCTTGAATTCTGAAAGAATATTGCTGTTTTTGGATGTTGAATCCTGAAATTCTGAAAGAATATTGTTCTTTTTTTTTTTCATTCTTTGAGAATGAAGTATCACATATCTTTTTTTTTCCAGAAGTTTCCTCATCATTCCTGCATCATCCTAACATACATTAAATTTCAACAAAATATCTGAATCATGAATATTTGAAAGAAACACATGTTCCTGCGTACATCACCACAAAAAAAAAAACACACCAACTTTTAGTTTTTGTTTTCTTCTTCTTATCTACAAAACTCAGAAGTTTTTAGTTTTTTTTTATTATATAATTTTACTCAATTCAAATGGTTTAGAAAAACAAAACAACTAAAGCCAATATATGCAAAACAAGATTCTAACATAAATTGACTTTTATATTCAAAATCACTACAATAAAACATAGAAGAACAAGTATAAAAACAATTCCAAACCAATTACTGAATTAGACTTTTATAATCAAAGTATCTATTCAAAAGTCAAAGAGAAGAATTGATATTTCCCACTCGTTTACCTCGATTTCTACCGATGACGGACAAGGAAGGCTCACCGGGAATCGATATTTTCCTCCTCCTCCTCCTTCGAATCGGTGAAGCCCTAGAGGTGCTTCCCGATTTCTGATTCCAATCGTGCTTCTCCTCCTTAATCCGACGAAGATGAGCACCGGGGGATCTTCCCCTTGATCTTCTTTGCTGTCGACGACGGGAGAGGAACGAAGAACCGCTGACTGCCTTCCTTCGCATCTTCCGCCATTGAAGAATTTTTCAATTGAAATTCTATAATCGGTCTCCGCCATTGAAGAATGCGAGCAACATAAGCGGGATGAGGTGAATTTCAACGTTTGGGGAAGCGGTTTTGTGGTTGTGAGCTTCTTGTAGGAGACGTTTCCATGGTGGCAGAGTGGGCAGGGGATTGAACCTGGTGGTTCGATTGGTGAACTTGGAGTGAAAAGGGTTTGAGGATTTTGAAGGTTTTATTTGACAAGATTTAAGAGAGAAGCTAGGTCAAATATACTTATTTTATTTCCTTAATTGCAAGATTCAATTAAATGATTTCCTTAATTAAAAGTATAAAAGGCCCAAAATACCCTTAAATGATTTATTTAATTGTTTATTATTTCTTGAATTCTCATTGATGCATTTAAGTACACAATACTTGCTAAAAACATTTGAACTTAACTCTCTCTCTCTCTCTCTCTATATATATATATATATATATATATATATATATATATATATATATATATATATATACACACACACACACATGAACCGGAAATCCAGAAACAAACAAAACAAACCAACGATAAATGAATCCTAACACAAAACAAAAACCTAAGTGAAATTAAACCAAAAAAAAAAACCCTTACTTGAAGACGATGGCTATAGCAAGCTGATGACCGTGATGGAGAGGAGATGACGACGATGTTACTCCATGGCAGGAAGAAGAAGCTCTAGCAAGAAGATAAAAGCGAGTGAAAGAGAAGATCAAGGCGAGGGTGTGAGTCGGAGGTGCGACTGTGCGGGCAGAGGGAAAGAAGGAAACTAGCGGAATATTAAAAAAATTCAGCGTTTGAGCTCGCTAAATGGAGGCGGAGGCGGACACAAATTATATATATATATATATATATATATATATATATAAAATAAAATTTTGTTAAAAGTATATATTTAAGGGGTATACAATGCAATATTAAAACCAAGGTTCTAAAAAGCTCGTCATGGCTCCGCCATGGCGCGCCACGACTCCAAGGCTTGCACTTGCTGCCAAGCTTTGCTAAAACGTCGTCTTAACTCATATATGTGTATAAAATGAATAATAGTTGACAATACATATAAAAATATTAATTATATAGAATATGGCCGCCTTAAGTCACGCCTTACAAACGCCATGACTCGCCAAGGCTCGGAAAAACTTGAGGCTTGATATTGCCGCCAAGTCACGCCTTACGTTAATTAGAACAGTCAAACTTTGCGCATTAAACCTTATTTAAAAAAAACAGTAAATAAATAAAAAGTAATCATTAAACAATAACATGTGAAATATGTCATTCATTCGTATTCGTGTAATTAGAATTTGGTCGGTGCAATTAGAATTACCTTAAAATCAAAAGTTAAAGTATGATCAAAACTTAAAATATCGTGAGGCATGAATACAAAGAGAAACCGCAGGTAGGGACCCGGCACGTACTTTCGTTTGGTCAACGAACTTGAATTATTCTCCATTTTGAAAATATGCAATAATTATGTTTGCTATATCATATCAGATATTTATTTGATTTTTGATGATTGTCCATTTACAACCATAGGAATCATGCCAAGTTTTACACACAAAAGGATGTGGATATTAATTTTTCCTTGTTTTAAATTTTGTAAAAAGACTGTTTTAATGAGCTGTCCTCGACTCCTAGTTAATAAACCAACATTCGATTACAGAGTATGTTTTTATTTTTATGTTCAGTCGGTCACTACTAATAATAATATCTGACTATAAATTAACAAACATGCAATATAGTTGGTTTTTAAAAAAATAACCATGTTTTCTTGTATATTAAATTAAACAATGAAACTGATATCGCTTTTTGATTTGACTTTGTGTTTTTTGTCAATACCAAATATTTGGTCACTGTTATGATAAGGTTTTACGTGAAGTTGTATGTGATCACCAACTCATTAGAAAAATAGTATCATATCCATCAGCTTTATAATATGTCTACCACTAAACCATTAGTCATAAATGGTTACCATTATTTTTTATTTTTTTAAACATTAGAATAAATTAAAAAATATTTTTAAACAAAAATTCAACATAAATATTAATTAAAAAACATTATATTAACTAAAAAATTCACAAATTTAAATCCTAAACATTAAAAATTAAAACATAATCTACCAAAAAAACATAGAATATACTACTAATCGTCGTTGTCGCCGGCCTTGTTTTAATCATCATCATCCTCATTATCCTCGTCGTCGTCATTGTGTTGTTAGGATTGTTTTTGTCATATGTGCCCAGTCAAATCATAACGTAAATTATGATGTATTTCACTACTTTGTGTTTTCAATAGTCTTGTGAAGTATTTCGGATTGCCGACTTATATTATTATAGGTGGATTAACTATGTCTTCCGGACTATACATACAAATTACCCCTACCATCTTCTTCTATTATAATGTTATATAAAATAACATAAGCTGTCAACACCTGTGCCAATTTTGCCTTATCCCATACTTCTGTTGGATGTTTGATTATGTGACTCTTTTGTTTGAGGACCCTGAACGTGCATTCCACATCCTTCCTTGTCGATTCTTGTGCTAACTTAAATAATTTTCGTTTTTCATCGGCCGACCATATAGGAGTATGATTTGACTAACATAGTCTATTCTGGATATATCACATCACCAATGTAATACCTATAATTATATTGATGTTCATTCACAGCGTATGACATGTTTGATGTTTTACCCTGCAAAATATTGTTAAATAGTGGAGATGCTCCAAGCGCATTCAGGTCATTGTTTGACCTCGCCATACCAAAGAATGCATGTCAAAACCATAAGTCATGTGAAACAACTGCCTTTAGTATAGTAGTTGTCACACCCCAAAACCGAGAACGACGGAAACGTTTCGGGGTGGAGGACGTCATGTATAATATCATAACAATGCATAATAGTAAAGACAAGCAACAACATCCATTATTTAATATAATAATTCTAATACAAACGTGTTCTGTACAGTTTTTTATACACCTAAAAGTATAATCAAAATAAAAGACGAGTCTTGTATGTGCTCCATCTTCTCAAAAGCTGCATTTGTACCTGTCTACTGATGACCTGAGAATACAAGTTATTTTGAAAACGAGTAGTCAGCATAAAACTGGTGAGTTTATAAGTATTTAGTGTCATTGCTTGTATAAAAGTGTTTACAATCATGTAATATAATAGCTGTTATCAATGTTTGAAAATAGTATGATCCCTAGAAAATCCCATATTTTCCAGGAAAAGTAGTCTTGTACCAAGACTCGGTTATTTGTAGGTTTGATCCTTTAAAAATGTAACAGTTTTCCCAGTGAAACTATCAGTATGAAAATATAGTTTTAGACTTTATTCATGTAAAGTAATTGGGAAAATAATGTTCTACCCCAGCAGTGTCACTGCCGGCTGAATGTAACAAAAATGCAGACTCCAGGTAGTATTAAATGTACAATACACCTCGGGGAGTCCGTTTCGCCTTTAATTCTTAATGTGTTAATTAAAGGTCCGAAAGTGAACTCGTATGTAGCCATGCTGTTTGACGATCAAATAACTGCTGACCCTCCAGGTCACACGTAGTATGGTGACATTTTTTCACCCCTGGGCCTAGTCGGCTCGGACTATAGCTAGTAGTCGGGATGTAGGAGTGTCTGTCCTGTATAGATCTATACACATAATGCTGACTCTCCCTCTAGGAGACTCTGGTTACATGGTGATAGCACAGTGAAGTGTCATATCGAGAAATAGTATGTCACATTCTGTTTTAGTATATTCTCATGTATTAGTGTATAATGTACTTTTTGGTATAATGTATAGAGTGTTATCTTGTATAGTATATAGTATTCTCTTTGCATAGTATTTAGCATGTATTGACTCATAACTATACTAACTATAGTAAGTGTCATGGTAATAGTAGTAACGAGCGGTAATACTTAACTATACCTATTATAGTTAAATAGAAATGTTAGTTGCATGCCTTTGATACACAAAGGTATTGAACTGAAGTGAAGGCTTTTATATCCGACACAAATATATATAATATATAACTAAGGATTCAACGACAGTCGGACAGATAACAATATGTCCACAATCAAACAAGAACAGGAAGTAAGGTGAGCTATCAATCCTAAGTCCTTCAAGTCTTACTTGTGTGTGTGTATATATATATATATATATATATATATATATATATATATATATATATATATATATCTATATATATTGGTGTAGATATGGTTTGGGAACAAAGGAAGTTTAAAAGAGTTTGGAAATAGTTTTATAACAATTTAACATGAGAAATGATTTTGATAAACATTTAAAGCAGTTATGTTGGCAAAGTAGTTAAAAGTATAGAAAATCCTTTTGGTTGCAAGTCATAAATCACATGTGATTGATACTATAACTTGATTGATTCAACTTAAAGGTTGATTAAGGTGCATGAACTCATCTGCAGTGAGTAGATTTGATGGAAGTGTCGGGTAGGATGCTAGGTGTCAAATGAGGACTTGAACACACACACGGATCCTATGTAACATGTAGTGATACATAAATGTATCTAATTAGTTATTTAGTCAATAATTTAGTAAGTAAAGACACTCTAATGCATGAAAACACTTTGCTTCAAGTGCTACGGGTTGCGTCTAAGGAGTGTATGGTCTCACTATGGAGTTTACACCTCAAATGGTCACCCTATATGTGTTTATGGTTAAGGGACCATTTCCCCCATGAGTTTACGGCCGTAAACTCACGGGAATGGTGCATTTGATTGTTTCAAGGTCTCATGCTTCACAAAGAAGTGTCCTAGGGTTGAATCAAAGGCTTAGGAAGTGGTTAGGGCTCGAAATGGCACACTTTTTGGAGTTTACGGTCCTTGGACTACCTTTGAGAGTTTATGGTCGTAAACCCATGAGTTTACGGCCGTAAACTCATGGTTACTACAACCATTTCGTGATTTGGTGTTTCTAGATCATGCATGCAAGGTTCTAGCCTTTTATCCAAGCATTAGAAGGTGTTAGGGGCATCAAAACACCCTTTGGGGGTGTTTA